CCCTCAGATCCTTGATCCATCTCAGCAGGATCATGGGTTTATTTCTATTCAATTGTATTTTTTGTTCATTTCAATTCTGTGCTGTGATAGTTACCATGAGTGAATTCTAGTGGATCTTTCGACGCAAGTGTGACTAGTGAGAGTGACGTGACTGTCAACTGAATAAGTCATTAATGTCAATTGTCATTATAGTGAATATACTAGTATATTATATCTTTCTCCTCTCAGTCACACAATAAAAAGAAATGTTTAAAGTCAAATATCCTCTCGCAACTTTTTGTGATCCAATGTTTACAAAAGTTTTTCAATGAAATTTATTTCAAAACTCAATACTGCTATTTACATGGAACCTAAATCTAGTTTTACTTTTTTTTAATAATATAACACAGTAATAATATATGAGCTTATTTATTACCCCTGATGATGGGATTTACTAATCCCGAAACATGTGGGGCCGTTTTTTAGAACGAATAAAGTATTTGCGGGGGAAGACTTTCTACTTCTTCAATTTAATACCTAATTGTTAATAACTGTCTACCCTTAAAGAGGTTATATTCAACTCTTATCTCAATACCAATGTGGTAATTTTATGAGGTACTTCAGTGTAAAATCTTCTGGCAGTCTCGCGGTATTCAAAATTGAATTTCATACCTATTCTGAATTTTGGTTGAAACATGTAGAGCTCATTTTGAAACCTTTAATTCAACAAAATTTCATCAACAATTTATTTATAATTCAGCAACTCTGTTAATAGATACGTAATTTTTCTTGGGCATAATATGAAATGTAAAAACATTATATATTAAACAAATAGTATACCTATCATAATTTTTGGACTGCTTAAGTATCAGTAACATAGAACATTTTGAAATTGCCTGAAAACTTTGAAGCTCGTTTAACTAAACATGTCACTTAATAATTCGTGAAATTTTAACTTGGTGTACTTAATTTCTGAAGTTCTTTAGCGATTATAGTAAATATACCCAGCATTTAGGACATTGTGTAGACTCTACAAGTATTGTTGTTTTACTAATTACCTTATATTATTAATTATCAGTTATCAACAACAATCTGCAAATTTTGTAAAAATTCAGACTCCAATAGGATATGGTGATTGATTTCTAGATTATCTTTGGTGGTATTCCAGACATCTGCGAAAGAAGACAATACACCTTTTTTGAAGTTAAAATTCGACAACATAATCTCGTGCAACACATGTTATGTCTACCTTGGTATTTGATTATTCGTGTAATAATTTCTCATTAAAAATCTTGACTTACAAAATATTTCATCTGGCTTTCACTTATAACAAAATATTTTCCTTACATATTTCCTCGTATATTTCAAAAACGGAAACTCGTGTTTTCAGCGAATCATTTCGCAGTGCTTGCGAAAATACCTAACAAAGAATATCAAATCTTTGGTTTAATATGTTCTCCAGAAAGCCGCTATTATAAGAACTCATAATGGTACGGTATTGTGGACTCTTTGAATCCGTCTTTCTTTGAATTCGTCTTAATTTGAAATATTTTTTTTAAAAATAAGCTTGAAAATAGTTTAAATTGTATTTAATTGGAAAAATATCAGTTCAAGAGATAAGCTAGCCATCGCAAAAGCAATGGGTTTATCTGAAGAATAAAATTCAAGTTGTTTGTCTGTTTTTTTGTTTCTCAATATTTTTGAATTTTCAGGTAGTACCTATCCCTGGGCAAAATTCAGTGGTGTAGACTTTTTTTTTTACGGATATGCGCACTCGCAAGGAAATGTCCTATCACGCTCGAGAAGCGGCAAGTGCGCGGAAATGTCGGTGTATGTTGGTCTTGAAACGGTTCAGGTTGTAACCTGCAGGGAAAACCGTCGCAGGGAGTTTATTCCACAACGATGCTGTTCTCCAGAGATATGAATTCTGATATAATAAGGTTCTTGGTGCCTCTAGTTTGACAGTAAATTCATGGTTACCGTCTGTTTGACGGGTTCGCCTGGTAGGTGCTACTCTCGGTGGAATCATACGTGCCAACTCTTCAGAGCATTTTCCGTGATAGTACCTGTAGAAGAGAGATAAATCGCCCACAGATCTGCGATGTTCGAGACCATCCAAGTTACGAGTAAGTGCGGGGTCATTGATCAGCTTGATAGCTCGTTTTTGCACGGTATTCAAAAGCATTAAGGTATGTTTGGGTGCTGCACTCCATATATTTGAGCAGTACTCCATAGTTGGTCGAATCTGGGCTTTGTAGAGTGTCAGCAATTGGCTTGGTGTGTACAGATGTCTTGTACGAAATAGCACCCCCAGCTTTTGGGAGGCCCTTTTAGCAATATCTGCCACGTGACTGTGCCAAGACATGTTGGTCTCTGCAGTAACCCCCAAGATGTTCAACTGACTCTGTAATGTGACAGCACTTCCAGATAGCATGATGTTTGGCTCACCGGTGCTGGTCTTTTTTGAAAACAGAGCTGCTTGGGTTTTCTGCGCGTTTAACTGTACAAGGTTTTTGTTACCCCAGTCCTCTATTATCTCCAGGTCGTTATTTATGCGATATTTGAGTTAGTCTAAGATGATGGAATTCACGAGCGGAAAAACCTGTGGGTGGTATGAGTGAGGAGACTACATTGCCATCGTCTGCAAAGCAATAAAGTGGATTTACTGTTTTATCTATGAGGTCATTTATGTAAATCAGGAAAAGAGTTGGCGAAAGGATTGCTCCCTGTGGTACACCAGCATTTATTTGGTAAGAGTTGGAGTTCTGGCCATCCAGTGCAACATAAATGGATCTGTCCTTTAGGTAACTTGCAAACCAAGTGCAAAGTTTCGGCGATAATCCCATTGCTTTGAGCTTGTTGAGCAGATTTTCATGCCAAACTTTGTCGAATGCTTTAGATATATCTAAGGCAATTGTTCTTGTTTCACCCCGCAACTCAATCGCTTTTTGCCATAAGTGAGTGACGTATGTAAGTAAATCGCCAGTTGACCTATATTTTCGAAATCCGTATTGCTTATCGTTGATAATTTTGTACTTTCCCAAGTACTTGGTTAGGTGATTGTTCACAACTCTTTCCATTACTTTTGATATCACCGGAAGTAGAGCAATTGGTCTATAGTTTAACGGATCTGTCTTTTTTCCTTTCTTTGGAATGGGTTGTACTGCGGCAGACTTCCATGATGATGGATATGGATATACTCCTTGCCTGTAAGACAAATTGAATAATTTTGCGAAAGTTGGGGTGAGTTCGTTGGCGCAATTTTTGAGTACTATTGCGGGAATGTCATCCGGACCCATTGCTTTGTTTGTATCCAGTTTTTTTAGGGATTTTCGTATTTCTCTGTGACAAAAGGGTACCACATTTGGGCAAGCATATTGGCTTTTTCCTCTGATGTTGTGGCTAAGTGATTATTTTTATCTGTAAGTGGTGGTATGGATGACTTGGTGAAGTTAGATCCAACAGCTTTTGCAAGAGACCAAAAAGACCTAGAACTACTTGGACAATTCAGCAACCTGTTTTTTATTCTTTGATTGTATGTTTCTTTAGCGGAGTCAATAGTAATTTTGCAACTATTTCTGGCTTCTATAAATTCTGTGTGGTTTTGAGCGGTTTGTTGTCGTTTCCAAAGGTTATATGCTCTGTGTTTTTTCTGTACAGCCGTTTGACACTGGCTGTTGAACCAAGGTTTTGCATTAGCTCTACGTTTAGTTGTATGTGGGATATATGCGTCCATTCCAGACAAGATTACTTGTGTTATTTCATTACAGCAAATAGTGGGATCAGCTGTTTTAAAGCAAACCTCTTGCCATGGAAAATCCAGGTAATACTGTTTTAGGTCATTCCATTTTGCCGATTTATAGTGCCACATTTTACGAGGAAGTGGTTGTAGGCTTGGTGGGATGAGCATTTCGCACTTTGTTATTATAAGTTTATGATCGGACGAACCAAGTGGAGCATCTACTTGAATTGTGTACGAGTCAGGATTGGTGATTAGGAACAAGTCTAAAAGCGCTGCAAATTCGCCCCTTTCTGAGATACGGGTAGGTTCATCGACAAGCTGCGTTAGACCACAACTTATGGCAAAAGCTTCTGCTTCTCTGCCTTCGTTATCTGTTTTGTTGTGGTGTTTCAGCCAGGGTATATTGTGGACGTTGAAATCGCCTAAAAAGACAATTTCCGCCTGTGGATAGTTTGGGTTAGTTTGTGATTTTAACCTCAAATTTTTTCAGTGTCCGATCTCCACCATGTGTGTACATACTATATACCTACACATGAACCTACATTAAACACAACAGTATTTCAAAATACCTATTGATTTTTTTACAAAATTCGATTTAAAATTTTAAATTGGAAATGATGAAATGCACTATGCATTGAGCAGTTATCAAGTTGAAGATAAATTTAAAAAAAAAAAACATCCAAAATACACAGAATTTTCCACCTTTTATTCACAAAGACTTTCGCCAGGAATTTTTTCAATTGCAGAAGCTTTATTTAACCGCTTGATGAAAAAGATCACATTTAATTTAAAATATCAGAATTTATAGAATAATGTCTTAAAGGAGAAGGACATTCCTGTGCCTTTATTTTATGTGTTTGAAGATATTCTGTTTATGACAAGAAATAAAGACATTAGGACCAGAATGAGATGTGGAAACTTGAGCAAATTTTGAAAAAAAATGAAGTGCTTCCAAATCAATGCTTAATCCACTTACCACATACCTACTGAATTTGTACCTGATAGAAACTAAAACAATAACAAGTTTCAAATCTCATTAATCCCAAAGCTGATAGAATGCATTCGCATTACATTTATTCGAAAATTAGCATGCATTGGAAAATAATAAAAATTATGCTAGCGAATTAATTATTAAAAAAAATCTAAACTAGCAAATATTTTGTAATAATAAATTTCGAGAAAGAATTATCTCTTAGGAATTATTAATTATTTATATTTTCCGAAAACTTTAACAATTTTCAGTTGTTCTATTTCAAAAAAAGGGAAATTCAAAATTTACCTTAAATAAAATTATCCGCGCACTCTATTTTTTTTTAACTGTACAAACTCTTATGGAAATTATGCCAATACAAGCATCTTATACGTTTCTAGATTATAGCAGAGTCTACTTATCTGAAGCACGTTTTCGTAATAATTACCTTTTGGTAGGAAAAGCCTTGTGCATAAGCCGACGCCCACGATACAACTGAGAGAGGCAGGAGTTGGCGCAAGCCCAAAACATCGATTACACCGAGCACGTGCTTGGAAAAGATCATTAGGTGTAGAAAGTCTGAAAAAATGCAAAAAAAACTTTGATTGAATGCACTGGACCAAATGAATCAATTTTGAACCAGAGGATGTTCGGACAATTTAGTTTTAGTTAAAACTGAATTTGAATAGGACTTGGGTAAAATGCCGCAATCTACTCCATGTGAAATACTTGGTTACCCTAAAAGGATTCTGATTTGCATATTATTGCTGGAAAAGTTTTGATGAAGATACAGTTAACGATATCATTAAAAGTTTCCAGCTATGATCTAATCACAGCAGCAAGGCAGGGCATTGAATTTATAGCTGGATATATTTTATTACTCATATCAGGTTAGCAATGGTAGGTAATGGGGTTGCAGTTTGCTCCAGCAACTTGCCATAATGTGAAGCAGTAAATTATGTCAGTCCTATAATACCAACATTGTAATAGGTAAGTAACTTGTCATGATCACGGGAGTCTATAAAATGGAATTCGTATGCTTGCAAATTGCGTTAGTAGGATTGAAGGTATTTTGTAGTGCGTTAAATTAATACATCGCCATAAATCGAATTGCTTCATCCATCCAAATGTTTTTTTTCTTCGCGTGTTTTCTTGACTTAATATCTGTAACTTTTGGTTCACATTTTATTTCACATTTAGTCGGTGATAAAATAAATCATGTGACCTTCAACTCGTTTAAATTCATGCCCCAATGTTTTATTTCTTTTCCGGATTCAAAGTAAATATTTCATAATTTATATTATAATGTCTTGATAATTACATCGCGAAAGAATATATCGCACTATTTGGCTGCGTAGCAATAGTACTGTGGAGAGGGAGAACACTTGTGTCTGTATTTTATGGGTTGTGTGATCATTGTGGATTATAAGAGCATACCACTCATATATTCTACTCCATTTCTATGTTTAACTTAACGATACAGGTTGAGTCATTTTGGGGAATCGGGTACAGCCTAAACGGTAATGAATATTGTAGTGTATGACCAATAATGAGCTAATCCCTATATGTTTTCACTATTTACCTTGGATGACAAATGAATAAAATTCTTCCCTCGCGGAGACGAATAAATTTTCTCCCGGAACGTGGGCAACGGATGATCAGTCTGTTTTAGAACAAAAGAAAATGGACTATACGAGAGGCATATCTATCGCCTAATTCAGCAAGAACGCGCAGAAAAAATCGATTTTTTTCTGGCTTATGCCAGTAATCAACATTTGGATATTTAAGGATGTTTCGATGCTGAAATCAGTATTGATAAAATTGATGTTCGGGAACCTACCACATTTTATGTGGTGAAAAAAGGTGAAAATTTTCTAGGTAGAGATACAACTCAATCTTTGCCATAACTGCTTTTCCCAAAATAAAAAATGTTTTGATAACCATACCTATGGATGACACTATCAAACCAGCCGCTCAACCATATCGGAGGATTCCACTTCCATAAGAATAAAAAAATCAACGAAAAGAGACAAGAACTTGTTGACTCCGATATCGTTGAGCCAGTGGATGCGCCATCAAAGTGGATTTCACCTATGGCTCCCATTTTTAAACCAATCGGAGAGGTCCGTATTTGCATAGATAAGACAAGAGCAAATACATTAACACTTCGGAAGAACCATCCCTTACCGACCATAAGCCAGATGATACCAAATCACACTTACATTCCCAGAAGAAAATAATGTTCTATTAAATTCAAAAAAATGTTTTTATATTATTTTGGTGGTGCAATTTTTGGGACATGAGTTATCCACACATGGCGTAAAACCTATAGATAATTTCGTATCAGTTATAAACTCTTCCTGTTCTCCCAATACCATGACGAACTTCAAAGCTTTCTAGGCCTTGTCAAGTATACTGGGTGTATCAGGCATGAGTACAACAAATTTAAACACAAAATCACGTGACTGGAAATGCAATTTCATTGGCTAAAGCCGATATTCATGCGCTTTGTTGCGATATTTCCATTCAACCGACTTTTAGAATGGATGCTAGTCAACACTACCTATTAATGAGGGGATACTAAATCACCCTGTTAAACAAAATGTAAGCAAATATTCCCGAGATCATTAAATTGAACCCTTTCAAGTATTTTCTCTTTCATCTCCTCTGGTAGCGACATCAGATTAATTGCCGAGGCGTTGAAATATTGTCCCTATTTTATATTCGGTTGACTTAAATACTGAAATTGGTTAAATAATTTGACTAACCATAAATTCAGTATCAACTTACAAATCAAAAAGGTAATGTACTTAGATATAATGTAGAAATGTAGAATACAACCTAGAGTGAAAAAAGTTTATGAAAGAATTCAAATTATTTAATGTACGGCTGCACAGAAATATACAAGGTGTGTCAGGTATGAGTACAAATATTTTAACATGAGATAATATGGCCAATTTCAAGCTAAAACTGTGCTATTAACCATGGGTCAATTAGTTAGTATTTTCGGAGTTATCGCAGAATTTATATTTAGAAAAATTTCAACAATGTGACAAAATTGTAGGGATATTTATCTCCATGGCAGAGGAAATGAATGTAAGCAAACTGTTAAATAAAAAATATATGTATTTGTTTATCGTCATAGGTATACAGGGTGCGCCAAAAAAGTTTTTTTTTTAAATGGAGCGCCATGTATATTTTTGTTATCCAAATAGTGTTTGATATTTTTGTAAAGGTAATTTTCTGAGACTTTTGAAAATGAAAAAATATACAGGGCGATCCCTTAAAAAAACTTTTTTGGCGCACTCTGTATACCTGTGGGGACAAAAAAATATCGTTGTAGCGATTAAGATCTTTGCAATCTACCAAGAAATTTTCCAATTCAAATATGTCCGTTATTTTCAATAATAAAAAAGTTACTGAGTGTTCCAGTTATAAACAAACACTCTGTATCTACAACGTTTTCAAAACACTAAAATCACCATAATTGAAAAGAGAATACACTGCACAGAAAGTTCCCAATAGAAAACTGGAGTAATAATACGTGATACAGGTAAAGCAAATTTTGTAGGAAGGTCCGATGAACTCTTGAGTGGGAATATCTAACTTGTCGGGAAATGAATCGAGTGCTTATTCCAGGGCTCTCTTCCACTATCGCTGAAACCTGTTCTTCATCGACAGGTGTCATTTGTCATGCAGGCCCCCGATTTACATTTTGCACACTTGCACTTCCTGTACATATCACGCAATCTTTGCAAAACGGGCACAATGTTCTTTCATTCGGTGCCGTCCTTTTAGGAAATATTTCCGATAGGTACTATTCCATAGTGACTACCACTATTCCATTCATTTGTCAAGGTTGTAACCAAATCTTCGTGCTTGCGTACTTGTAAACTATAGGTAGGTACACATCGTGTGAGCGCTCTGCTTGTCATGGCTGATTGAAAAGCTGGTATACTTGCCAAGTAAGCAAATATTTGTGTAGTTGCCAAGTACACGAGTGGTCTGAGCCCGGGTTTAGATGAGTTTAAGAGAGATGGCGTTTAAAAATGACAACGCAATGGTCTCTCCATTTCCCCGGCTGCGTTTTCTAGTGGCGTGCGGTTTTTTCTGTATCATAAAAAATTTAAAGTTCTTCTCAATTAAAAATTTTGTGTATAGTAATTATGATGTAGGTATTTCAAAATATTTATGAAAAATAGAATCTTCTAAAATAATATTATATAATAAACAGTGTGTTTCACGAACATCGAAACAGAAGCGTTTTTAAGGTCGATTTAAAAAAACACTCGGACACATCATTTTTGTATTCAAGGGGGATACTTTTTGACCCAATCGGTGTTTCGCTAGGGTGCACCCCCTGGGTTGGGTGACTTTCACCCCTCTTTTCAAGATAGGGAAGGATGGGTCGAGTGCTACCTTGTTTTGAAGTTATTTTGATTCACGTCATAACTGCGTTTTTTTTTCTGAAAATTGGATGATTAGTTCTCAAGATATTCATTGTGAAAGTTGGCATGGGCTAAGAAAGAAACAATCTTCTGGTCCTGTTATTCTCAAATTAACACTTTCCTGACTCTCGGACACGCCAATTATTATTTTTTGTGTGTGTCTGAAAAAATGTGATCAAAGAACCTTTGGAATAAGGTACCACTCGGACCATCTTCCCTGTCTATAAAGAGGGGTAAAAGTCACCCCACGCAGGGGGTGCACCATTGCGAAATACCGATAGAGTCAAAAAGTTTCCACCCTAAAACGCCTCTGTTTCGATGTTCGTGAAACACCCTGTATAATAAAAGACACTATGCTATATACATATTTATATTTAACCTTCCATTAGTCGCGCGTGTACCTGGGAGATACGTGCTTATTAGTTCTGCAAATAATTCAAAACGGAAAAATATTGTAATTTTATGGCTCGTAGTAGTCCTTAGGTACCTTATACTAATTACTCTCCCAAAATCACATGGTCCTACCTCTAATTGGAAATTTGGAATTTCCAAAAAACTCCGGGTGCGCTTGAATTTGTACTTGACTGATACAATGCGACTATTCTTGTTACAAGCCGTGCTCCCCAGTCGTAATTCTAGCATCCGTGATGAGCGTTTGGCTAAGCTACGTTTTACTTTGGTTTTACTGTTTTTTGATAAATTTTTTGTGCTTCGTGTTACAATCAACGGTGTTACTTTTCATCAGTTTAGCAAATTTGCCAAGGGAACTCAAGACAATGCTGCAGAAATACAAGCAGCCCAAAACAGATGCGGAAGCAGACCAAACATCATCAGAAGCTGAATTTTCGGATGTATCCAAGAAAAGAAAGAGATGCCAACCGTCCTACGACACTAATAAAAAAAAAAGTCTTCACATACATATGTCAGGACAATATGCACGAATGACTGGGTACAGATGAAGCAAGTGATGATTAATACTCAGATTGGTTTTATTTTTCACTATAATATGCTGCTTTTATTATGAAGTCATA